CAACCATTGGAATAGAGAGGAGTGGATTGGTCAGTACCATACACGGAGTACTGAGGCCTTTTGTAGTGAGCATACTTTGATCTTTCTAACAGTATTTACAAATCATCATTCTAAATGTTAGTTTTTGCTGCAAAGTCTTGTAGGTGGTAACTCTCAAAACTTGAATTAAATATATTTTGACCCTGGAATATAAACTAAAATTTGGCTTCAAGAGTTAAATTAGTAATATCAGCTTTCTTGCTTTGTCTCTCATGCTTTAACAATGGAGTGTACAGAGCATGTAGAAAGAACAGTGATGCTTTGAATCAGAGTGAATCAAAGTCACACCTGCACGGTAAATTATAAAGTAATGAGGTTGGTTTCCATAAGCCTCTAAGAAGCTTGGTGTCTTCACGCAGATTCATGAATGGTAGTATTCAGACATGCAGGGCCTTCAAGACTGTTAGTGCCAATCTCTTCATTTAGCAGATTAGGAAATGAAGATTGAAGCAGTTAATGTGTCGATAATAACACCATCAGGTTCCTGTTGTGCATTTTAAGAGAACCATATGGAAGAATGGATTTATGAGAAATAAGAAGATTCCAAAAGTTTCTCATTGAAGATAACAAAGAAGAGACTGGCATCATCACCTTGAAAATATTTATGAATTTTTCATAGTTACTGAGGTTTCATGCTACTTATGAACAATTTGCAAAAATTGAAAATACCACCCTGAATAGTTGAAAAACAATGGTGAAGACCCACTGATTCTTAAACTCAGTGTATTTTATGATTTGTGCATAAAATTACCTTCATTTCTCCAAAAGACTTGCATGTTTTCAAGCACAGATGTGTTTGGGTAAAGGACACATAGTCTTTTAACCTTTCTAACACCTGTTGCTTTCAAACAGTGGTAACTAACTGGGTAGTTTAAAATAAACCCTTAGTGATATTTCAAGTTTCCTTTAAGGCAACAGCCTTTTGCCATATGTTTAGCAGAAAGTGGATTAACATACTTGAGGAATGAGAATCATGGTGCTGAAAGGATTTAAGTAAATGTTGGGCCTTATTTAAGTGTAAAATAATATACCAATGGAGAAGATTTAGTTAATGAGTAAACGTGGACGACATATGTTTACTATTGTGTTGGACAGGTCTCTATTTCATTTGATCAAAACTAGTCTTTTCTTCCTGCCTTATTGCACAATTTAAAAATGATGTGGGCACTCTAATTTGCTGCTCAATAAATGTTAATGCTTTATCTACCAAACACAGCAAGTAGAAAGTATTTTAATGATATGGACTCTGAAAACACTGTAGTTAGATTACAAGCATCCAGTGCTGCCTTATGATTATTTTCTCGGATTATTGGCCAAGTTTGGCTCTCTTGCTTCTCTGACTGCCACATTACATTTGTGCCTTGAAGCCATCCATTTTGCAGATATTGAATTTCTTTTGAGTACTATTTTTACACAATAAGCATCACTAAACCTCTGAATCTTGATAGCATTACTACAGGAGGAGAAAGAAGCTTTGTGTTAGTAATTACCTAACACTGTCAGAGGCTGACTGCAGGCCTCTTTCTAGTGATAACAGAATAACCGCATAATGTAGCTTTATAGCACATGATTAATAGAAAATAATTACATGTCCTACAAAGGGATGCAATATTTCTTATAAATTGACTAGAATGGTTTCCTGTAGATTAAAGGACTCTTCATTATTTTATCAGTCCTCCTAAAGCACTGTCACTTGCTTGTGTTAGCATTTCAGTTGATGTTAAGAGCCGAATAGAGTGAAGGGTACCAGATGGCAGACCTTGTACCTGAGATCTCATGTACTTCAAAGATGACATGATGCTTCCTGACCTTTAAAAGATTTAGATGGCAAACTGGTATGGTTTTGTCACTGTATATTTTGGTTATTTGCAATATATGGTTTGAGGATTTTCTTTTTTTTTTTTTTTTTAATAAACCACCTGTGACTTTATAGAACAATACTAGAATCAGTATGTTGAACTGCAAGGCAACACTGTATCGATTGCATTATTTTCCACAGTAAGTAATACATCATTCATAATCACATTTGTTCTGGGGGATGGATGGGCAAAGAAGAAAGGCAAATTTTCGTCTTCAGAAGGAAACTGTGTATGATGTGGGATCTTCAGGCGGAAGTTTAGGATTCCGTACTCCAAGAAGCATTTTCATTCCCATTTATAGGCTGCAAATGGTTTAATTGGGATTCATGTTGCTCAGGAGGCTCGTACAGCGGACGGTAATGATGAAAGTAAAAGCTCCTGTGTTTGTTTGCAGTCTTGTTGGTGCACTTTAATGGCTACAGTGTAAATCCATAAATTTGCCTACTAGATTTTTACCTCACTGTCTTTTATCTTATCTCTTCATTCCACACAGGAGTATTATATGGAATTATTTATGGATATGAAGTAATGAACACTCTGGCTTTTAGGTTTACCCTTTTTTGTTTTAAATCTGTGATATTTAGAGTACTTTTATGAGGTGTATATTTCACATGTTTTTCAATTATTTTAAATTAATTAATTAAAGCACTTATAATGATTTTAGACTAAATTTTTAAAAATATAATGTTACTTTTAAGGGATTTATATACAGCTGAATAGCTCCACCCTGCGGCTTACTACTGTGGGCTCTGTCTAATGACTATTACCAGTCTGCCATAGTACAGAATTCTCTCAACTATGAAGTAGATCATTGGTCCTTTGTTAAAGGAAAATCTGTTTTCTTAAATTTAGATATGAGTGAAGTTTTGGAGAGCAACATTATGCCTTTAGCTGACAATGCAAATTATAACAGAAGTAGAATGTTATAGAGTAATATGGACTTCCTCGTTTATGATTTGAATCAAATCTTTGAAACCCAGATTGAGGACAGATTTCCAGAAGAAGGTTTTGGTCATATTATATCCTCTCAGAATGTTGTCTGCATCTACCATTTGGGGGTCTAGTTCTTTTACTCTTTCCAAATAATTAAAGACATTTTAGATTGGCATTGGGGTAAGGGCCTTCACATTTAGATAGAATAAATAGCTTTCCATTCTGAAGTCTTACAGTGTAGGTCTCTAGTTTCTGGGAGGTTAAGTACATTTACTATTAAGCATTGGGCTGTCATTATATTCACTGTCTTAAAAATGGAAAGGACCAGTTTTATTAGGTCCCTATAAGGATATAATAATTGTCAATCATAGCTTTCACTAAGTTGGTATTTTCTTCTGATAGCTATGTTGCACATAGATAATAGTCATCTTCATTGAGTTCTGAACATCAGAGTATTGTTGCTTACATGGTGTTATCCACTAAATTCACACTATAGGTGAACTTTTAAACTTATAATATTAAGCATTGTTGTTGTTAAGTGCCGTTGAGTTGATTCTAACCCATAACGACCCTATATAGGGTTTCCAAGGAGCAGCTGGTGAGCTTGAACCACCGACCTTGCAGTTCAAACGACTTTGCAGTCTGACTCATTAGCCCACAGCGCCACCCCAGGACTCCAAATCTTGAGCATACTACCTGACAAATCCAAGCTCACAGTGTCCCCTCATTAGAATAAGAATATTTGTCCTTTCTTTCCCTATCTCGTCACCTGGCGCTTCCAGAGAGACTAATTCTCATGGTGCCTACTGTTAGGATTTTATTCTATAATTTCTCCATTGATAGGCCGTGTATCAATACATATGTTAAAATTGCTATACTGTATTGAAGAATTATGTAATTTGTCTCTCTGATGGTCAAGAGCATGCTAATCAATACAAATGTTATGCCTCTGCTAGCATTAGCACCCTGTCCCACATATAACTCAATATGCTTATGCACATTTATCTATGACTCGGCTGTTGGAAAATCACAACCTTTGGAATTACTTTGGGGATAAATTTAAAAAATGTATCTTATGTGAAAAATTAAATTTGGGTCCTACAATGCTTTCACAGGAGTATTGCTTTTGGAAGATGATATTCTTGAAACTTGTAATTCATTTTACTTTGTTTGTATCTCACTAAACATAAATAAATTTGAGCTACAAATACATTAGTCAATCTGGCAGACACATGAGGCCGGTTATAAAGTGTTCACGTGCCTAAAGCAGTAGTGTGTCTGTCAGTGGAGGAAAAGTGAGGGGAAAGGAAACCCAGGTTTATCTCATGGCAAAGTCAGTGCAAAAGTGACTCATCTATCACTTTGTTAAAAAACAGCTGGATTAATATTTTGCCTTTCTAACTTGAGATACTGTTATTTCTTTTGATCTTCTATTGTAAGGATAAATCTATCACCACCTTTAAATTCCTTCTCCCCACACCTTTCTAAATTAAAGGACCAGCAAATGTCTTAGAAAAGAAGCTTTCTGAAAGGAGTCTTTTTGTGAATTATTTTGTAAAGCAATTTTTGTGGGTTATTAGTATTTCCTTACTCTCTAATTTATCTGCTTAAAAAAATGCACGATATTTGAGTTCTGAATGAAAGAGGAAACGTATACACTTCAAATAATTTTAGGCAATGAGTTTAATTAAGAATTAGATAATTTATTGTGAGTAAAAAAATGTTATCCTTGTTGGATTGTAAGCTTCTTGAAGGTAACTACAGTGTCCTAAGGATTCTCACTTTAACCTTGTGGCTTCTCGCTGATGCTTGTGCATACAAGGTGTCTCCTAAGCTGTGTGGGAAGAGGCGGGAAAGGGGCCTAGGCAGCCTATTACTTAAATGGTTTTATTTTCTAGGTTCTATCATAAGTGACTGTTTCTGTATGGTACACCAGGTAATAAACAGGCTTTGTCTTACTCCTTAATTTCAATCTTTGCCTAACAGCATTTTTAAAGTGTTCAGAAATAGCAACAACAACAACAACAACAAAAGATTAAAATGTTTCCATTTTCTATTCAAGCTCTTGTAACTTTATAAAAGGAATAACAATTCTAAAAGAAGTTGCATACAAACCACATTGTACTTACACCAGTCTAAAGGTTAATATTGTATATTGTTTTCAATTAGGAATACAATAGATATGGCTGGTGGGTAGGAGAAATGAAGGGAGCCATTGGCTTGGTGCCTAAAGCCTACATAATGGAGATGTATGAGATTTGAGACTTCTGGGTAAGTACATTTTAATCCAATATTCTGTAATAGCTCATATGTTCTCTTGTTCTTTGCCTTCTGAGTCTTTCTTTACCTTACAGTTTTCTGTTAACATAGAGATTGTGCCTCCGCTGCCATTTTATTGTTGTTGTTTGCTTTATCTGGTTTGATTTTAAAAAATAATTTTAGGCAATTTACTTTGGAAATGAATAGGTTATTTAGAGCAAGTTCCAGTGGTGGTAGCCAGCTGTTTTCCCCAATACTATTTTTATCGTCTTTTTGAGGAGCTGAATTGACAAAATGTTGAGTAAACATTCATCTATCCTTGGTTAAAAATGTAATTTTTTTTCTAGGCAGGAAAAACCAACATTTAGACTGAAGAAAAAAATTAAAATGCAGCTTCCCGTTTCTACCTGCAGAGAAGGAAGATTCCTGGGCTAGTCGGCAAATACTTTGGATTTAGAAGCATCCTGAAAACAGGAGTGACAGCTCATAACCTTTCTTTGTTTTGTTTTAACATTATTTGTCTTCAACTGTTATTTTATGTTATCATTTATTAGAATATTCCGCTGATGTGAAATTTAATGAAGGATATTAATGTAAATTAGATGCAAGCGGTAAAGTTAGACCTGTTGCTTTTTTGCAAAGAAAGAATGGTAGTTTTTATTTACCCATCTGATTTGTGTGAAGAATTCAGCACAGTTTTAGATATACTTCATAGTTATTACTGCTTTTAGGATGGATCCTAATTTTTCTTCCATTATTGGAAATGAACTCTTTTTTAGAATGTAATATATAATTTCATCGAAATATTAATTGAATATATCAGGCAAGGTTTTGATAGATATTATCTAAAGAATGTGGCTTTGTTCAAGCTTTATAAATGATTAATCTTTAGTGTTTATTTTTCATACAGTAGGAATATGTGCATCCTGAAAGAATTTTTACTGATGGCAAATTTACTTCATGCTAACTATAGTCACAAGAAAGAAAAAAATAATATTAGACCTATGTATGGTAATGTGATGTTATCTTCAACATATGAACCAACTAGAGCCATGGTCTATATGGCACTCTATTAATAATGTCCGAAGTATATGACGGGCTTGCTGCCAGTTTGGTCCAGTTTTGTTTTAAGTTTGAATAAGAATCGCCCTTCTGCCACTAATATGATGGTGTGAAGAATCTCCATGTATTCCCACATAAAGAGGCCTAACCACACACTTTCATATGGAGCTTTATCTTTGCTGGGCTATGAAAGGCCCTCCAAGGAGGCAGAACTTGCACTTTGATGGGTCCTCAGCTCTCACAGAAGCTGAGGGGGAAAAGGCTTGGAGACAGTGCGTGATGGTAGTGGTAGCAATGGGACATGTGCCAACACTGAGTGGCACACTGGCACCTGAGCCACCTGCCACATGGGATGCTTGAGCAAGAATTGTGGCGGTACGTTATTAGCTTTTCAGGTATGTTTGCAAACCAAAGGAGTTTTAAATGCTTACGAGGTACTGTTAATGGCCTTAATAGATATCAAAATGCATTGCCGATTGAATAAGTATTTGGATTGGATATAATCACCTAATATTGAGTCATTAATAACTACTACCTTTGTTGAAGGAGCTCTGGTAGCATAGTGGTTACGAGTTGGGCTGCTAACCGCAAGGTCAGCACTTCAAAACTACCGTAGTTCCACAGGAGAAAGATGAGGCTTTCTGCTCCCATAAAGATTTACAGCCTTGGAAACCCTATATGGGGTTGCTGTGAGTCAGAATCGACTTCACCACACATAACCAACCAACCATGTTTGTTGAGGACTCCTGGTGTGGCACTGGAGGGTCAGCACTGGACTGCTAACCACAAGGTCAGCAGCCATTCCTTGGAAACCCCCATACAGGGTTGTTGGGAGTCGGAACTGAGTCTGTGGCACTTAACAACAACAACAACATCTTTGTTATGGACTCCTGGTGTGGTGCTGTAGGATTAGTACTGGACTGCTAAACACAAGATTGGTGGTTGAAGCCCACCAGCGGATCCTGGGAAAACCCTGTAGGAATGCCATTGAGGTAGATTGAAACAATGTACCAAAATTTTGCTAAACCAGAAATGAACTTTGGAGACTGGTGTTCAGGGTAATTGAAAAGCAAAAGCCATTGTTCCATGACAACTGTAGTGCTTTCTACTATACAGGTTTGTGCTTTTGGTTCAAGTGGAGTTTTCATTACTAGGCCGGTAGATGGCAGCAGCTTTGCATTGCATTCCTACCCATTTGGAAACCCCTCCCCCACACAGGCACTAACTCACACAGAACATAAAACGGTTAGAAGATCCCTGCCTCTTTTTACAATTAATCCAGGAGAGGGAGTCCTTTGCCAACTGATGACCAACAATTCAGATCCAGATAGTCCTTCTGTGGAGAGTGACAGTATAGAACTGAAGTGTTACATCTGTCCAGCGCTCCCTGCCTTTGTTCTTTTTAAGTTGAATATCAAGGGGAGAGGCACGTCTAAGAAAGGAGGCAAAAGATTGAAAATCGGAGTGATAGGAAAAATAATCAGGACTTTGAGTTTACGACTACTTTTATAGTCATTGGATGAAATCATTTATATACTCCCAGGGAGAAAGTTTCCTTTACACCCTTGACAATATATCACACACTCGTCAAGATCATAATAATAGCATTAATGTGAATTTAAACAACACGGCTTGTTAGAAAATATGCTAATTGCTATGTTCTCATTATGTTTGCCTAGCTTTTATTTGTTTTTCTATGAACAGTTAGAGAGCTCATTTTTTTCAAAGGTGATTGTAAGTCATATTTTATATAGCATTTTGCTTGATTATTTGCTCTGTACTGAATTTGTACTCTATTGCCATTAGATCTTACAATAATGTTCCACTCTGCAAATTTTTAAGGTTCAAATAAAGTTTAATTGTTTGCAAACTGTTATGATGCTAATAATTCAACAGCCTGCTGTGTTACTAATGAAATTACTTTGTTATGATTAATTTGGAAAATAGTGTGTTGATTGTAGTAATTAAGCACAACAAGGTGAAGTAAATGATTCTAATGCCATCTGGTCTCCAAACTGAATGAAGAAATGAAATAGGGCTGTCATCTGAATTTATTCAAAGAAGTCAGGATGATACAAATTACTTTCATTGCTTTGGGATCTACATTTAACCACAGCTCACACTGCATTCTGTTTTAGCATCTTTTCTGCATAGAACATTTTCTTTCATGAAAAACAAATGGTGTTTGGCCCTGCAATTGTTGTGAACGTGGTATCTGATCTCGGATGGATTGTTTTTACCGTGTGCTATTTTAATTACAGATCATTGTTTAAAGTATCGTAGGAGTATAGAAATCACTTTTCAGCTCTCTGGGGGTATCATCATCCATACTTAGGGTTTTGTGTTTTGTTGCTGTCAGTGCACAAACACTGGACTGTACCCTGGTCACAAAGAGTACACTTGTACTTCAATCAATTGTTTCTAAAATGTTTGTAGTCAAAGCTCTCATATATCTTATCACATCTACTTTTCCTAGTTGTGTGGTTTTTGTTTGTTTTTTCCCAGTCTAATCTATTTCTGATCATGTTACAGAACCTGGAACCATCCAGGATTGTGTTGGAAAATCGAACTGGATTATTATCTTGTAGATCTAGACTGCAGTTCACCACTATAGGAACATAACCCCGAAAATACCTGTAGTTTTAAAATTTGAACTTTTCAATGAGACTGACTGAATGAAGTACTGTAAAAATTTTCAATCAAGTGAAGTACTTCTAAATTTCAGATAAATCAATTGTTTGTACTTCAGTTGTTGAATAGAATTATAGACACCAACCTAGTAGAAATCACTTTTACTTCTCATAGTTCAATAGCTCCAAGAATGTTGAAAAGTTTGGTAGAAATGGTAAAAAAAACCAAAGGCAATAAGGATTAAAAATATGGTCAAATCATAGAAAACACAACATCACTAGAAGTTGAAGGAACGGGATTAATATAAACATAAAAATATCTGTTACAATGGCCTGGTATGTCAGTAAAATCCTAAGAATTCCAAATTACAGAGAGACAAATAGTATGTTATGAATGTATCTTATTAAAGCATTATTGAAGTTTAATACACATTCATATACTTAAATAGTTGATCATCTTGCTTGGGAGCAACAGATTATAGCTTTAGCCAACATTATCACCCACTGATTTATAGGTGAGTGCGTCCAGCATTTTTGTAGAACCTCTGATAGTGTAACATTTTGCATTGATGACATAAATACTGACAAAGTTAGATGATCTCAAGTAACATGGAAGGATACTTCATTATTACTATATTTGAAGACTCTTTGCCTTTTGTTTTTACCAATAGAATCTGCTCTGTCATTGTTGTTGTTGTTAGGTGCCATCGAGTCGGTACCGACCCATAGTGACCTTATGCACAGCAGATTGAAACACTGCCCAATCCTGGGCCAACCTCACTACTGTTGCCACACTTGAGTCCATCGATGCTGCCACTTGTCCAATCTATCTCACTGGGGGTCTTCCTCTTTTTCTCTGACCCTCCATGATATCCTTCTCCAGCGACTGGTCCCTCCTGACAATATGTCCAAAGTATGAGAGACGAAGTTTGAGAACAAATACATGATTTATTGTCAGCATAGCTCAAAGTGTGCAGTGCTGGTTAATTAACTGATTCTGCACTCCACAATTACCTTAAGACATTCAGTTTAAGACGAAAAGAGCTTGATTTCTATACCTGTAGAGAAAATGCTGTTGGCTAGTTGGTACATCAACTTTCTGCCTGATAATATTCTCTTAGTCAAAAATATCAGTCCCTTTTACTGAGTTACCCTAAGGCCATCAAGCAAGTGGACTTCATTGTATTGTTATTAATGGAATCAAGTGAGATTGTGACTATAACTATAAAGTTGAGGTGTGACAGATAATCTTTGTTTTCTTGTAGTCAAGTGTTGTGACTCTTTCAAAAAGGAACAGGAGGTTCAGAGCATCTTGGGGCCCTGTGATGTGCTCTAGTTTCATTTTCTAGCATGTTCCAAACCACTGCAGCCCTGTAGCTCATCTGGGCAATGTTATAGAAACCTCTCCTCCTGCCTTCTGATCGTGGACGCGTTCTGTCACCTTGAATGAGTCATAAAGGAATTTCTCAGAATGGGAAGTTTCTGAGTTGTTGCCAAGTCCAACCATAATTTCAGTTTTGTTTTTTTCTTCTAAAACTTTACTCCCAATTTCTTAAAAGTTGTACGTTTACGTTAACTTGAGTGCTTTAAATCTCCAAGAAGAAAGGAAACAAACGCAGAAAGTAGTTTAAATCATACTTAAACCTGTAATATTAAGAACAGGCTTAGAAGAAGTTGAACAAATCAAAACACTTCTAAATATGCACAAAAGTGTTAAAGTAGAAATTTTCCCCAAAGCCCATCTTTTTAAGTACTTTCCTTAACTTTGGACCGTTGGAACATGTTTCCTTAGGTTGCTCTCCTCTTTGTCCCCACCGTTTTCAAGTTTATTACCTGTCACTCAATTAGATAAGATAGTGGGCCCGTCATCTGTTTTCTCTTCATTGGCCTCAAGTTTGTAATATAGAAATATCACTCCTGTTAGAGTAAAAACAGGTGCCATTTTGTAGCTTGAGTGGCAATTTACCTTTTGTTTGAGGAGAGTGTCACACAGGTACTTGCAAGGAGAA